CGCAGCAAGCCGTTTCCAGAGCACCCTGGGGTCGGGGTGCCCGTCACCCCCACCGGCGGTCTGCAGGGAGCGCCGGGCTCAGGCAGGACCGAGCGTGTCCCCTGGCGGGGAGGGCGCCTGGTCCCTGGCTAGCGCTGCGGGGACGTCCTCAGATGCCAGCCTGGGGTTCCACGGGTGTCAGGTGACCGGATTCTTTCTGCCTCCTTTGCCGCCGAGTGAGGGCAGGACGCGTCTCCGCCTTTGCCTTTCCTGCGGACTCTGCCATCCCGGGGCTGAACCAGCGGGGGCTGCTCGGCGCAGGAGGCGGCCTGTTCCGCACCTAAGCGCCTGCAGGGCTGCGCTTCCGGTGGGGTGGGAGGGTCGTGCTAAAGAATTCGTACCGGTAGTGACTCCTGGGCGCGGGCGCAGGGTCGTGACCGTGTGACCCCCGTCCCCCCTCACCCCGGTTAACAGCTGGTCCTCGGGGATGAGTGCAGATTCTGTGGGCGGGATCCTGGCCAAATCTGATCGTTTTCAGCTCATAGGTGACAGACACCTGTGTTCTGAGAGGGAGGGGCAGTTTGCAGGTGTTTGAACAACCCCTTCCCCTGGCCCAGCGCGCGCTCGCACACTTCCTCCTGGAACACGGGGCGGAAGCAGGGAGCCCGGCTTCTCATTCACGCACTGGGACGGCCGGGGCCCCGCCTCCTTGTGACCCTCGGTGCTGGAGCGGGTGCGTCACCTGGGGCGGGAGGCGGCTCCCCCTGCAGGTGCCTGCAGCCCAGGGTCCCCCCGAGAAGCCGAGAGTGCAGGGAGGCCCCGGCAGGGTGCGGGGTGCTCTGTCCTCCCCGAGTGGTGCTGTGGGCGCCTCGGGACCGTTTCCACACGGGTTGACGGTGACCTTAGTTTGACAACAGCCATAAGCCCCTGTGGACTCACCCACCCAGGTGAGCACCTGGGCTGGGTCCCTTTCAGTGTCCCCATCTTCCACCCGCTCTCCCTCCTGCCCCCGGGTGACCGCTGACCTGGCTCTTCTGTCACTTGTAGCTTTACGCCTGTTTTCGTCACCCAGCAGTGGGTCGTGTGATATTTTTGCGTTTGCCATAAGCGAATATGACCCGTCGCACCCTGAGTGTCGCACGGCCTCCTGGGCTCAGCCCAGCTCACACATGCTGGTGTCCCAGTCCTGCCTGCTGCAGTGTCCGACTATCTGGGGCATTTCCTGAGCGTCACCTGGCTCATGAGACCACCCTCCTGTGGCAGACGCTGGCGGGCCAGGTTTGCCTCCGTCCTGTGAGTGCCAGTCTGTCCCAGGAGGGGGGCCTCTGGCCGGTGGAGCCTCCTGGGGGTTATGAGGAGGCTGAGCTGGGGAAGGGGGCCTGGTTTTCTGCATTTGGGGCAGATCGAGAACCTGTGTGGCCACCGAGAGTGGGCTGGTTGACAAGGCTCACCACGCGGCCTCCCCGCTGGACCCAGTAAGCGTGGGCCTGCCTTAGAGCGGTGGCTGCTCATAGGACAAGGCGTGGGCTGTCCCAGGGCCGGTTGCAATGATGACTGGGCCCTTCAGGAGCTACAGCAGCTCAGCCCCAGTGGAAAGTTCCGTGGCGGGTCCCTGGCCCAGTCTCCCCGCCTGGCCCTTCCGAGGGCTGGAACTAAATCCCTGAAATCCCAACTCCCTCTCCCCGTCCCAGAGCCAGCCTCCCTCCCGCTGTCGGCTCTGCGCCAGGGGTGACGTCTGCTGGAGCTGCGGGGCTCTCCTGTTTATCGTCAGCCCACGGGGACACCCACTCTTTGCCACTTGCTGGCTGGCCCCCCACCCTAATGCCCCACTCTCCTCAGGAGCACGATTGTGTAAAATCCCTGCCTCACCTTGCCCTGCAGAATATTCTGGCTATCTGTTGACATTTGTTCTCATAAGTTTGGGAAGCTCTTGTTAAATCCTGAAGCCTCATTTGAAGATTCAAAGCCTTTTGGAAGAGCTGACATTTTGGTGACATCAAATCCCCCTCTGTGTGTGTCATTCATTGACTGCATCCTTTCTTGATATTACCCAGTAGGTTGGATTTCTCCACCACTAGCCTTCCTCAGTGCTTATTTAACTTTGAGTTTCACCTTCATAAATGCTGTGGTATTTTAAAATCATTTTTAGGGTGCAGAGTGTGGCTTTTTATCGAAGTATCGTTGATATAAAATAATTAGTTTCAGGTGTACAGCATCGTGACTTGACCGTGATCCACATCACAGAATACTCACCCTGGTGAGTGTGTCGCCATCTGCCACCATCCAGCCATCAGTCTTGACTGTGTTCCCTGGGCTGCGCCTTCAGCCCTGTGGCTTATTTACAACTGGAGGTTTGTCCTTCCATCCCCTTCACCTATTTCACCCAGCCCCCCAGATTTTTAAAAACTAACTTTCCAACTCACTGTTGTTGTAAGAAGAGACCAAAAGCAATTTCTCTTTCATTTTCTGTTGTGGAATCTTGCTAAAAACTTAGGCTAGGATGATTTTTGTTCTGCTGGGGTTTTAGACACAAGATGGCCTGTTTTAGAGCCCGTGACTGAACTTGGGAGGTAAAATGAATACTTTGATCTGAATCTGCACTATCTGGTGGGCACAGGGATGAGTGTATGCTTGGCCAGGGAAATCCCAGGATGGGGAGCAGGTTTCCGGGTGGGGGCGGGGGCTGCAGTGAAGGTCACCCACGACGCTGGCTGTATATGCCAGCAGGGGCGGCAGTGGCCACTGAAGCCAGTTTCCCTTTCAGAAGAAGGCCTGTCACCCCAGGGCCCCCGTCCCCTGGTGGGAGCCTTCCAGAGTTTGGGGGCAGAGGGAGTGATTACCCCCAGTTGGGCCAGAGCCAAGGTCAGGGGTACCTGTGCCCCTCGGCAGTGCCACCCTGGAGCCTGATACAGCGGCTGTGGCCCCAGGCGGGACACTTATGTCGGGGGCTGTGTCTGCTACTCTGGGAGGAGTCTGTCGTGCTGCAACGTGCTGGCATGTGCGTACAGTCTTGAGTGACAAATCAGAGTGTGCAAGCTGGCTGTCCTTTTCCAAGTGGGGCCCCCCACATGGGCTTTCCCCAAACCCTGAGAGAGCCTTCTGCCACCAGCTGCTGCTCGGGAGGCAGCAAAAATATGCCCCAGGCACCCCTTTGTGATGCCTGTCGTACAGCCAGGTGCGCTGCGACCCTCTCCACCGTCGGGGCCAGGTCAGGAGAGCCCGCCATGGCCAGGGACCTGCCACCACGGACTGCCTTCCCGTGCCAGACGGCGGTGCCCCAGGCCTCCCTAAACTGCTAGAGGAGCCGGTGGTCACCAGGTGCCCCCAGCAAGTCCCTCAGAAGTCTGAGCCTGGGCATGAGAGGCTGGGCCTGCTGTGTGGCTCTAGGAGAAGGCGCAGAGATGCCTGAGTGGAACAGGCGGGTGTGCCACGTGTCACCTGGAACCATGAGGGCTGTGGGCAGCAAGCACAGTGTGTGGCCTCTGCAGAGGTGGGGGCTCTGGTCTACCTGGCCTGGCAGCTGCAACCTCAACCCCACCTCCGGGGTCCAGGTCTAAGGGCTGGCACCTGCCCGTTTGTCTCCAAGGTGTTCATCTCCATTTGCTGGTGGCGGTTTTGATGCTGGCAGAGGGCATTGTTACAGGGGGAGGTATCTGGCTTGTGACCTGGGGACGTGCCAGTCCCCGCCCCCTCTATCCCTCACTCCCGCCACTGTGGTGGGCACTTACTGTGTGCCCTGGAGGGTGGCGGTCAGGTTCCCATTGGGCATGCCTGTGGGTGACACAAGGGCCATCCAGGCCCGCCACTGTGACAGCAGCCTCTGCTCAGCCCAAAGCCACAGGGTGGTGGCCCAGAGCTCACCACTCAGTTCCAGGGGGGCCACAGTACTTCTCCCGGGCAGAGAGCAGGTGCCTCAGGACCCACCAGCCATCCCTGCCCTTGCTGGGAGGTGTGGCCCTCCCCACTGCCCATCTGTGGGGCTGCCCGGGGCCCTGCTCCCCCACCCACTCCTCCTCCACTACTGTGTTTTGCATTAAGTGCACATTTTCCAGTAAAGCCTTCCAATTTATTATTTTTTTTCAGCATTCTTTGGGTTTTTTAAAAATCGGTTGTCTTTTACCTTATACGTCTAAGGAGGTTGGCAACAGATGTGTGATCATTGCTTTCCAGTGAGATGCAGAAACGCTGCTCCTGTGTAGCTGTCCCCCTACGTGGCCTTGTGACATGTACACCTGTGACAAGTACAGCTGTTGATGTCAGGGAGCCGGCACATGTGACTCATCTGACACCTCCCCTTCCCCAGCCTCCCCACCTTCTCCACAGGCAGCTTTGGTCTGTGATTGGGACTCAGTCACAAATACCTTACATCCTATGTGTTACAGACCCAACAATAGACATTATAACCGATGTTTCACAGTTGCTTTTTTAAATCACTTAAGAAAAAGATGGAGGAAAACACACACTTCAGTACTTCACCAGTGTCCTTTGTTCATGTGGATTTGAATGACCTTCCAGGAATGATTGCCTCCACTGCCAAGAACTGTCTTAGTATTTTTTGTAAGGCGCCTCTCCTGTCGAAAAAGAAAAAAAGTTGTGATTTTTCCTTATCTGGTGATGTATGTGTTCCCCTTCCCTCTGGAAAGGCAGCTTTCTGGACGTCGATGCCAGGCCGACAGTCTTCACGGCTGGCGAGACATCAGGACTCTGCGCACTGCACCAGTTTTCTCGTGATGTCAGGATTTCCTCCTTGTCCTTGACCTTCAGCACTCCCATTGCGATGACCCGTGTGGGGACCTCTTTGCAGTCTTACTGTCCAGAGTCCAGTCAGCGTCTGGACGTGCAGTTCGTGGTTTCCAGCAAACTCGGGCTGTTTTCAGGCATCACCTTGCGGCGGGTTTGTTCTACTGTTCCTGCTCTGGGCCTTGCGTCCCCCGTGCGTGTTGTATGCCACGTGGGGCCCTCGCTGCCCCAGACCAAACCCCTCCGTCTGACTTCAGCTGGTTCATCACCAGCCAGCTTCAGTCTGGGGGGAAGCCCCTCTACTGAATGACTTTCTAGCCCAAGGAACTGAGGGCCCCCCGAGTCAGGGGTCTCCAAGGCGCCACCCTCGGGCATGAGGGTTTGCCACAAGGGTCACAGTACTGTTCCCATAGGAGGACTTGCTTCAGAAAAGCTGTAATGGGTGTCGGTGTTTATTACCAGGAAAGGACACATTCAAATTAATGAAGGTAGAAGGCACGGGACGGGTCCAGGCAGAACCGGGCCCAAACTCCGGGCTGCCCCAGCGGACAGCTTGGTGTGTGAGCGCATGTATGGGATGTTACCGGCCATGAGCGCAGCAAGCCTGGAGGCATGGATGCCCCTGTGACAGACCCTGGCAGCTCGGTGTCCAGCCCTCCCTCCAGAAGTCAGACGGGGGCCGTTTGCCCAGCACCCCAAAGGGGCTAAAACAGGAAGGCCTCCTAAATCCCTCTGTTAGTGCAAAGTCCGGCCTGGCCCAAGGCCCCAGCTACACACAGACACTCTTAGCGGGCAGGGAATCCCAAGGGCTGACAGACATCCTCCCTCGAGCCAGCCAGGGGCTAGTCCTAAAGAATGCGCAGGGTTTGGACCACTGAGTTACCCTTCACTGTGCATCATCGCTTCTGTGGCATCGTCTCTGGGCCCAGCTTACAGAGGAGGAAGACAAAACAGTTAAGTTTGGGGCCTTAGCAGGGCAGTTGCATCTATTTGGGAGACAATCACAGGGCATGTGGGCAGACCATGGAGTCCAGCGTGAGCTCCCCATTCCCCAGCTTTTGGACTGACCCTTTGTCCTGCCCATTCTGATGTCTCAGGCTCCGGTGGTCTTTGAGGACGTGGCCGTGGCCTTCTCCTGGGAGGAGTGGGTTTTGCTGGATGCTGCGCAGAGGGAGCTGTACAGGGACGTGATGCTGGAGACCTTCCAGAACCTGGCCTCAGTGGGTAAGGACGGCTTCCAGCCTTGGCCTGCTCACGAGTGAGTGCGGATTCTCACCTGCGCATGTCCAAGATTCAGTATGGCCATCGTGGGCCTAACTACTGCCATTTCCACAACAATCAAAATCTGTAAGCTGTGAGTTTTTGTCTTGGTTTATAAGGCTTGAATCTGCTTCAGTGCCACCAGTGTGGGTTGGCTCTGTGGGGCCTTGTGGTTCACAGACACGTTTCTTGTTTGAGACCCGTGACCCCCGTCAGGGACTGCGTACGCCTCCCGAACCCTGTGCCAGCTACTGATGAATCCCACTGAGGTTCATCCCTCACGAGTGCCTTCATCATTAATATGTCCACTTTCTTTTTTGTTCCAGATTATGAGGCACCATGGGAAGCCACCGGGTCAATTTGTCAACAGGACATGCATGAGGAAAAAATGCCAAACCAGGAGAACATTGCAAAATTCACAATAAATAATGCTCACGCCAACATTTTAGAAAAAAATTGGGAAGACCAAAGCATTGAAGACCAGGGTGAAAAGCATGCGAGACATCTGAGGTGAGCAGCATCCGTGAGATCAAACAGTGGTAACCCAGGATAGAGTCTTATTATGTCATATAAAGTTTTTAAAAGACTTAATAACCCTAACTCTAAATTTGTTTATCCACAAGAATTTTAAGAAAAAACAATTTTTTAATTTGATTTGGGCATTGAAACAATTATAGGAAAGCCCCAAATGTAATACAGTGTACGAACAGGGACTATGCCTGAGCTGCCCTTCCACAGCGTTTGATAATTCAGAGAGTAGAAAAACTTCCTGCATCCTGGCATGAAGTGACATGCAATTCTGATACATATTAGCCAGTAATAACATCATTAATAAGTATACCATTAATAAAGTGCTTCTGATTTCCAACAGAAACCCTATGGCAGACAGATTCTGTCAGAGGGATAAAGGAATTCCACATGGAGACACCCTCAGCCACGGCTCCAGTGTCGGTCTGTACGTGAATGTTTCCACTGGAGTAAAACTATACAAATGCACCAAGTGTGGGAAAGTGTTCATGCATCTTTCTTCCCTTAAGAAACACGTCAGATCTCACTGTGTACAGAGACTACAGCTGTATCAGGAATGCAGGCAGGCCTGCCTGTGTCCCCCACACCCAGGAACAAGTCCCGATGGGTGTACGTTGTGTGGGAAAGCCTTCCCGTATTTCTACTCCCTTGCTCAACACATCAGGGTTCACACTGCAGAGAAAAACTACAAGTGCGAGCCGTGTGGGAAAGCTTTCCCCAAGTTCTCCAGCTTCAGTAGGCACAGGAGGGCCTGCGCTGGAGAGAGGCCCTACACATGCAACGACTGTGGGAAGGCCTTTGTTTACCCCTCGGTCCTTCAGAGACATGTGGTGATACACACGGGGGAGAAGCCCTACAAGTGTGTACTGTGTGGGAAAGCCTTTCACCATTTCTACGCCCTCAGGCAACACACAAAGATCCACACATCCGAGAAAAACTACAATTGCATGCAGTGCCAGCAGACCTTCCGTCAGTTCTGCAGCTCTAGCAGGCATGTGCAGATGCACACGGGGGAGAAGCCCCATAAATGCAAGGACTGTGGGAAGGTCGTCATCTACCCCTTCGTCTTCCAGAGGCACCTGATGGCACACACGGGGGAGAAGCCCTACATGTGTGAACAGAGTGGGAAATGTTTTTGGCACCCCTATTCCTTCAGCCAACATGGAAAGGCAGAGACGGCCAAGCTGAACTGTGAGTGCATGTGGTGCAGCACAGCCTTCCACAAGCTCTCCAGGCCCACAAGACACGGGAAAACTCCCCCCGAAGAGAAGCCCTACGTGTGTAAGGAGTGTGGGAAAGCCTTCGCTTACCCCTCCATCTTCCAGAGGCACCTGATCACACACACGGGGGTGAAGCCCTATGTTTGTGAACAGTGTGGGAATGCCTTCCGTTACCCCCAGTCCTTCCAGAGACACAAAAAGACTCACACAGCAGAGAAGCCGTACATATGTAAGGAGTGTGGGAAAGGATTCAGGCGACTGGAGACCTTCCGTGTGCATGTGAGGATGCACACCGGTGAGAACCTCTATAACTGTGAGCACTGTGGGAAAGCCTTCGGCTCCCCCAGGTCGTTTCAGGGCCACGTGAGGACGCACACTGGGGAGAAGCCCTATGCTTGTGAACAGTGCGGGAAGGCCTTTACCTGGCCCTCGGCCTTTCGAAAACACGTAAGGATCCACACCATGGAGAAACCGTATAAATGTGACAAGTGTGGGAAGGGTTTCAAATCTTCTAGATACTTCCGAGCCCACGTGAGAACCCACACAGGAGAGAAACCCCACAAGTGCACACAGTGTGGGAAAGCCTTCAGCTGGTCCTCATCCCTGCAGAAACACATGAGACTGCACACTGGATAGAAGATTCACCCAGGGTGGAGATACTGTGGAAGTTATAAATGGGATTCTGCCTTTATGAATACCTCATGCTTAAAACAGACTCCTAAATGGTGAGTTTCCAGATCTTTCACAAATAAAAGTCTATGTGAGAAATAATTCTCTTTGAGCTAGAGTACTAAGTTTGACTAGTTTTTTTTTTTTAATTTTTCAGTTACTAGTATTTTCTCTCTTTTTTGTAGTTTTTTATCAGATCCATAGTGGTCTGAAGTGTGCTTTTAATACAACAGTGAAGGCAGCTTTTATGCAGTATTGTGGTGTGAGTATCTCACACGAGACTTTTGATGGCTGAAGTGTCTACCTCAAAGACGTCATCTCAAACACACTGCCAGCCATTAAAACTGCTACTTGTAAAACAACTAGATAAGGAGCCAGGCTGCCACCCTGGGTGCTGACAGTGAACCCACAAAAACCTAGGTGTGCCACCACGCCCCCAGTAAAGGCAGAGCGCACAGTGTGTGCTTTCCCACTGCTGGCCTTGCTGTGTGGCTCCTAGTGTGCCATGTGCCCTCCAGGATCTGTGAGTCGTAGACATTGTTCTTCTGAGTTCCCTGAAGGTCATTGCTAAGCTGCATCTCACCATCAGAAGGGCCAGTCCAGTCACGACACCGGCTCTTTTCAGGAATATGTCTGTGGGCTCCCGAATAATGTGGGTCCAGGCGACCACTGGGCCCTTCCAGCCGATGGCATCACTGTCAACAGAAAAGTCGTTTCTCTGTATCATTAGGATAACAGGACTTTGCAATTTTTGTATTTTGGAGTTTTCTTAATGGTCTAGTATGGCACATAACAGATTCACTTCTCTAGTTTATGTATTTGTTGGGGAAGGTCCCTGAGAAGATGTGACCACTGGTGGTCCATGGGCTGGACCCCAGCAGTAGGGGCTCCTCCTGTCCTTGGAAGGTGGCTTCTGCCTGCATTCCCCACTCCCAGAGGCTGCCTCCAGGGCAGGGCTTTGAGACAGTTGCGGGGTTGAGACCACCTGCACAGGTTATGTGACTGAGCCCAGTTAAGGCCTCCACAAAACTTGAGATCCGGTGGGCGGGCACCAAGATGTACTTCTCCTGCAGCCCACGCAGGACCAGCCTCATATGGACGTATCCTTGCTTCTTAAACCCGCCCCCTACCACCACTCAAAAGGACGGGGTGGGGGTCCCCACTTCTGGGGACCAGTCCATGGCTCACTGGCAGCCACATGTTCTCAAGGACCTTCCCCAACAAATACATAGACTAGATAAGCGGTATCTGCTATCTCCCATACTAGGCCGGTAAGAAAATCACAAAATTACAAAAATTGTAAAGTCTTGTTATTCTAAAGACAGAGAAAAACGACTGTTTTGTTCGTCTCAGCCTATCAACAGTGATGCCATCTGCCTGCCACTTCCTTGTCTCTCCCTGCCCTCCGCATGTGGGGGCCAGTGTCACGTCATGCCTGGGAGCTCCCAAGAAGCTTACCAGCAGCTGGTGAGCCGGCCAGAACACCACAGGACAGGGACTTGAGAGAGGCATCCGTGGGCACCCTGCATCAGCTGCCAACCCAAGTGGAGGGGACGGCTGCACCAGCCTCTCAGCAAGCGGGCCAGCCTCCACCATGGGTGCTTGGCTGGACACCAGTGCCCACCTGGAGGCTGAAGCTTGTGTTGGGAAGTCAGAGGAGGAGCTGTGGTGGGAGGAGGATCTGCAGTGTCCACCTGTTCGCCTGGGCTTGCAGACATGCGGGAGGACAGGGTGGGGACCAGAGCGATGCTTGGCAGAGCTTGGGGGTGTGGGGACATAAGCTGCCTCGGAGTAAGACCCAAGTGCTCATGACTGGGCCTGACTGGAATCCCCGGAAAGTGAGCAGAGTGAACAGGAGGGGGTTGGGGTGACAGACAATGAGATGGACACAACAGCCCTGCCCTCTGGTCCCCAATACATGGAACACAGCAGCCCAGCCAGTGGGACAGCCCCTGAAAGACTGGGTTCTTCTAGTCTGTGGGAGCTGCAGCCCAATGAGGGGGACCTCCCTGGGTATGTGAGATCCTGGAAATGTGTAGAGAACGTGCAAGCAGCCCTTAGGGAGCTGGGAGTGAAATGAAATCTAGGCCCCTGTCCGTGGAAGCCCTGATGGGGCCTCCTTCACTGCGGGAATCTGAGCTAAGTTTCTACAGCCCACCCCACACCTGGGATGGGATGTTAATTCAATATCTATGTTGAGCTGAGTTATGGGGCAAGACATTTATGCCCCTGGGAATCCATTGCTGATCTGGGGAAAACCAACAAGTCCTGGGCATGGGTACAAGTTGTGGGTAAGACCCGAGACAGGGAGCTCAGGAAGCCTTAAAACCTGGAATAGTTCACACCCGCCCCACCCACCACTGTTGTCCCTGATACCCCGCCTGCTCCAGTGGAGGCCTCAGGGTTACATCCTGTTAGGGTGGTAAACCAAGGTCTACCCTACTCTCCTTCACCAAGTCAGTAAAAAGGGCCCATCACGCCAATGACATAATGCTGATGCACGAAGACTTGCCTCTGATGCAGGGCACCCTGCGGGCGTCGCCAGAGCATCTGCGAAGGGAAGGAACCCGCAGAAAACGGCCTAGGCACTGTCATGAGGTTCTGGGGGTCATTTGGTCATGTCAGAAGTTAGAGATGTAAGTGATGGGAACACATCACATGTCCGTGGGTTAAAAACTTCATTAATCTCTAAATGTCCATACTACCTAAAGCGGTCTGCAGGTTCAATGCGATTCCTATTATAATCCCAAAGACTGTTTTTGAAAAAATAGAAAAACCCATCCTGATGTTCACACAGAGTCTCAAGGGACCCCAAAGAGCCAAAACAGCCTTGAGAAAGAAGAACAAACTGGAACACTTTGCACTGCCTGATTTAAAACTTCTTACAAAGCTAATATAATCAAAACAACGTGGCACTGGCATAGATGCACCTATAAAGATGGCCCAATGGAATAGAATAGAGAGCCCAGAAACAAACCCTTGCATTTATGGCCAACTGATTTTTGGTAAGGGTGCCCAAACCATTCAGTGGGGGAAAGGAGAGTTATTTCAATAAGTGGTGCTGAGAAAACTGGATGTCCACACACCAAAGAATGCTGTTGAACCCTCGTCTAAACATCATATACAAAAAGCAACTCAAGATGGATCAAAGACCAAAATATATGACCTAAAACCATAAAACTCCTAGAAGAAAACATAGGACAAAAGCTTGACAACTGAATGTGGCAATGATTTCTTGGATATAACATCAAAGGCAAGGTAACAGGTGGGAAAAAATAAGACAAATTGGATTTTTTTTAAATTTTAAAACTTTGTGCATCCAAAGACAGCTACAATGTAAAATGGCAACCTTTGTGATGGGAGAAAGTATTTGCAAATCATGTATATGAGAAGGAACTAATATCTAGATTATGTTAAAGAATTCCTAAAACAATAGAAAAAAAAACACTCAAAAATAGGCAAAAGACTTCAACAGACATTCTGCAAAGAAGATATACAAGATGTCCAATTAACACATTAAAAGATGTTCAATGTCACTAGCAATTAGGGAAATGCAAATCAAAACTACAATGAGATATTGCCTCAAACCCACTGGGATGGCTACTATAAAAAACAAACAATGACTGTGAAGGGGTATGTGGGGGGGACTTGGTGAAGGGGGGAGCCTAGTAAACATAATGTCCTTCATGTAATTGTAGATTAATGATACCTAAATAAATAAATAAACAAACAGAAAAAAAAAGAACAGAAAACAAGTGCTGGCAAGGATGTAGAGAAATTGGAACCCTTGTGCACTTTGGGGGGAATGTAAAATGGTGTGGCCACTGTGGAAAATACTAAGGTAGTTCCTCAAAAAATTAAAAACAATTACCATATGATCCAGCAACTCCACTTCTAGGTATTTATCCAGCAGAATTTGAAAGCAGAGTTTTGAAGAGATCTGCACATCCACGTCCATAGCAGCATTATTCACAATACCTAAAATGTGTAAGCAACCCTATCTGTCTAACCAAGGACAAATGGATAAGCGAAATATGGTAGACATACAATGGAATATTATTCACCCTTAAAAAAGGAAGCTAATAATTTAATATGCTATGACATAGATGAACCTTGAGGACATGGTGCTCAGGAAGTAAGCCAGAGACAAACAGATCCTATCTGGAGCCACTCCTTGGAGGTCGGTTCCTAGAGGAATCACATCCATAGAGACAGAAAGTGATGGTGGGGCCAGGGGCTGGGGGAGGGGGTGCTTTATGGGGACAGAGCTTAAGTTTGGGAAGATGGAAAGTTCTCGAGATGGATGGGGGGATGTTTGTACATTGTGAGTGTGCTTAATGCCACTGAACAGTACCCTTTAAAATAGCTGACAGGATAATTGTTATGTGTATTTTACTAAAATACAAAAAGGAAGACAGTAGATTGAAGGACATAATAAAATTGTATATCCATCACCTGCCTGTAACACTTTTTAATCAGGTTTGTCTCTGCCTCATTCTTTTTTTTTAATTTAATTTTTTATTAAGGTATGATTGATATACACTCATGAAGGTTTCACATGAAAAAACAATGTGGTTACTACATTTACCCATATTAAGTCCCCACCCACATCCCAGTGCAGTCACTGCCCATCAGTTCTGCCTCATTCATTTTTATCTGGATAAATTTGAAGAAAATCTCAGGTAATAGCATTTAGTTGATATTTTGGAATGTATATTTTTAGTGCAGCGCATTACCACACCTAAAAATAGTTCTCCCTTTCTATATTCAAACAAATGTGCAACGATTTCAGTAATTGTCTCCATAAGGATATAAGATCTATACATATCAACTTAACTGAAATGTCATTTATCTGATAGGTGTCTAGTATTCAGAATATATAAAAACCTCTCAAGCCGACCCAGTTGAAAAAATGCTCAACACATTTAGGTCATTTAAGAAATCAAAACCACAATGAGCTATCACTTCATACCAACTATGAAAGCTACAATTTCTTTTAATGCCATAATAGATATTGGCAAAGATGTGGAGAGATGGGAAACCCTCATATATTGCGTTGGAAATGTAAATGGTGTAACCTCTGTGCTAGAAATTTAGTGGTAGTTCCTCAAAAAGTTG